TAGAGGCAGAAGAGATTAAAGAGCCGGGTGCAGTTCATCTTGGACGGGTGGAGGCCGCCCACCATGGCGACTGAACTGGGTGCGTAGCCGGGGTAGGAGGTGGAGGTGGAGGACCGGGGCGGAGGGTAGCACACCATGTCTGGAGCCTCCACTGGGCTGTTACTGCCGGGCAGAGCCAGCAGGGGGCAGGCTGGAGCACAGGGGACAGGAAAAATCACTCACTCTACTGAGAAGGACTCAAGGCCCGGGTTTGAAATGGCCGCACTTCCATGTCACACCACACTTGTCGTTTCCTGTTTTATTTTGAAATTGCAACTTTCCTCTTGTTTCTGGTGTTTTCCTCTTGTGCCACCAGTGTTACCTTTCCTGATTCCTGATTGCGTCCCTCTGGTCCTCGCTTCCCCTCTTGTGGACTTTATGGTCCACAAGAAGACTTTATGGTCCACAAGAAGACCACTTCCGGCGTATTCTTGATCTAGTCTCGTCTTGATTTAGTTCCCTCCATGAGTGTCACGTCTGGGGGAATGTCTGGTGTGTTGTCATGTGTTGATTACCTATTGTGTTCACCTGGGGTTCCCCTCCCTCATGTGTTTAAATAGTCCTCGTTTCCCATGTCCTGGGCCAGTGCGTTTTTGAGTTTTGGGTTTTTGTGTCCCTTTGCTTTCGTTCCTCGTCTTGTTCCCACCACGTAAGATTTTGATTTTTTCACTTTGTCACAGCCTTACTTTGCCACAGTCTTGTTAATCTTGTTTTGATAGTTTTCCATAGTCTTGTTTACTTTTAGTACTTTTTGTCATAGCCTTGTTAATCTTGGTCACCCCTCGCCACGTAAGGTTTTGGTTTTGCTCCATGCCATAGTCTTGTTTTGTTCCATAGTCATGTTTTTTCACAGCCATGCCACAGCCTTGTTAACCTTATTGCTTTGATACTTTGTTCATAGTTTTTCCACAGCCTTGTTTACTGTTTTGGTCATAGCCATGTTTTGTCCCAGTTTTGTTTGGAACTTTGTCTGGACTTCCACTCTTTGAGTGTTTTTTGTTCCAATAAACCCTGTTTTCTGAATCTCCGACTGAGTCCTCCATAAGATCCACCTCCCTGACACTTTTTCTTCAAATTCTGAATAATTTCCTTGGGTTCTAGTGGGAACTCTCAATGCCCTTTACCTTCCCCTAGCATGCTAAAATCACACACATTAGGGCTAACTGGTGTTTCTACAATAAAACACACAAAGAAATAACCAATTACACCACAGAGTAACAATATATAAACAGAGTCTGATACACATTCCTAGTTTGAAAACCTATTTCTAACCCCTAACATTTGAAAAGGTAAGGGTTACTTTGTTTTTGTTTTTCTAGCCTTTAGTCTCGGTCAGTCAGGTGGAAGCCTACTTTATCTAAGCATGGGCACGATAAGAAAAGGCTCTTTTATCCTGATGGGGGTCTTACCGTAGCCATCGCTGTGGGACAGTGGGTGCTCGCCCAAAATGGCCTGTCTGTGTCTTCGTTTTCCACGTTCTGAAACAAACGCACAACTCCAGCTACTAAAGACACACATCATCAGACTCGATTTGCCTCATTTACTTCAAACAACACAGATTTATGC